CAGCTTTTTTAACTGGAAGTCTGGAGATGGGATGAGATCCCAGCCAACCCCAACCTTATGGGACTGTCAGACACTGAGTAGGTTGGTCCTGGCAAAGGAATGAGATCACCATGACCAGCTCAGGGTTCACATGTGGTTCTAGAGTCAATCCTCCAGCTTTGTTGCTTCTACATGGTGGAGAAGGGCAGAATGGTTAATGACCTTAATACCTACTCTGGCATTTTCATGGATACTCTGGTACTTCCCCCAGCAAACTTCACCCCTCTCCCACCTGTAAATTTACCCAGTAATTGAGCCATAAATTAAGCTGATATACATACCTAGCTTCAGGGAGAAGAAGTCTGCCCCTCAAGCTTACCTGCCAAGGAGGAGCAGAGAGCAGAACACCCACCCATATGATCTAAGTGAGGGTGGGGCCAGACCACAGGGGTATGGTGACTGCTTCCACCCTGACCTCTGATCACCGTCTCACAGCCAGGTACACAGTTCCTCCTGCAGAGGAGTAGGGGAAATGGGCATGGAATACAGAGAGGAATTCTTTCCCCAATATCCCAGAGGATGGACATTTGATATTTTATATAATGGTAGAAACATTAGAACTGGTTCTGGGTACATTTTCTGTTCTCTCCAAGCTAGGTCAGAACACAGGAATCTGAGATATGGTTTCTGTCCTTGAGGGAGCTTAATATTGAGCCTAGAAAGCCAAGCCAAGGCACACAACAGTAACGACACCAAGGCTGCATGAAAGCCCCAGGAGGATGGCTGAGCCTGGGAAGGTCTTGTTGCTGGCCACCTGGGTCCCTCATGCTCCTGACAGCTGCCCTCTCCTCTCTCTTCTGGCAGTGGAGGGAAACAGCGATGAACTTGATGAGCCGATCAAGGCTGTGTTTGCTGATGTGGCTTTTGTCAAGAAGCACCATCTGATGAGCCTGAATTCAATCAACTGGTCCCGGGTCCTCGTGCAAATGGCCCATTACTTCTTTGCTTACTTCCGGTGTGCACCCTCTCTGGACACACACCCTTTACCCCCTGTGGAGGTGGTTGTGCCAACAGGGGCTGCTGGTAACCTTGCAGGTAAGGGGTCTCTGGAGTGCAAATCAGCTTTCCATAAAAACACCCATGGCCACAGTCTTCCAGCTGCCTTTCGGCTGCAACTGTGAGGAGGAGGAAGGAGGAGTGGTAGCTCTGAAGCTGATGGGAAACCACACAGAGGAAGCTCCCCTCCCAGCAGCCTTCCCTCCTGACTTCCTGGGGGACATCCGGGGCCCTTGCTGCTGAGGTGAGTGATAGGCAATCCTGACGTGCTCCAGCAGCCTGATCTGATGCACCTGCTGGCTCAGCAGAGTATGGAGGGGCAAGGTCAAGGGTCAGTCACTGTGGCCAGTTGGCAGTACCCTGGATCAGAAATGCGGACTTCACTCCCAGCCCCTGCCAGCTGTGTTGTAAGGGCAGGCGTCTCAACTGGCATCTGTGTTCCTGCGCCTGGACACACCTCCCAGACCATGTGAGGTGGGAAGAGTCCTGGACTTAGGGTTCTGGCCCCAGTTCTGTACTGTACTAGCTGAACGGCTGTGGGACAGTCTTTAGACTTAACTCCTCAGCTATAAAAAGGAGATGGGGTCATTTATCATATCTCTCAGGACTGCCGTGTGGAGCAAATAAAGTCCTTGTGTGCGTGTGAACTTTGTGGGGGTAAAGTGCTGTACAGCCACGTGGCATTAAAATGATTCCCTTTGATAATTAACATTTATCAAGCACTTAACTATGCTGGCACTGTCCTAAGTGCTTTTCATGTATTAACTCATTTAATCCTCACTTGGACCTTTGAGGAAGACTAAACTGTCATTGCATTTTGTTATGAGGAAATGAAGGCACAGAGAAGGTAGTCGGCATGTGCTGGTTACCAGCTGGTTGGTGGCACAGCCAGGATTACAGCCCAGGCAGTCTGGCTGCAGAGCCTGCTCCTGGCCACTCACCAGGCTAGTGGCCTTGCTCCTGATGGATTGGCTTCTTCCCTGCCCTGGGTGAAGCCCACTCTGCTCCCCTTCTATATCATGCTGCCCAGTGGCCCTCTGTGGCCCAGAGCCTGGCCTAAAATGAACACACAGTCAGCATTTGCCAAGGGTGTTCCTGCTCTGGCAGGAACCAACTGTTTGATTTTGGATCCTCCTGAGCCTCCTTTCTCCTGTCATATGAGGATATCATTGAGGATTGAGTCATATGAATGAGAAAGTACTTTGAAAAGAAAGAGAGATAGAGGGTGGTTATCCCCAAGTCCACTTAACCTACTCATCAGAGACCAGCCCCTCATGAAAGTACTATATGAAAGTCTTCCTAAGCTATGGGACATTTCTGGGCTCTACATGTCTCAGGAGGGGGAATTCCTTAATTGTTTCATGGAAAAAACTGCTGTCGGGGTGCTGTTTCACCCTCCTTCCGTGCCACTATGTGAAACACAGTCTGAAGCCACTGGCTCCAGGCGGCTGGGCCCAGGGCGAGAGCATGTAGCCTGGACCTAGGTGTGTCTTGAATACTGACTCTGCCATGCTTAGCAGAGTCACACATGTAAGGTGTCACATTCAGTGGTTTTTAGTATATTCACAGACTTGTGTGATTATCACGACAATTTTAGATCAATGTTAGAACATTTACGTCACCCTAAAAAGAAGCTCTGTACCCATCAGCAGTTTCTTCTCATTTCCCCTCAAAATACTCCGTCTACCAGCCCTGAACAACCATGAATCTATTTTGTCTTGATGGGTTTTCCTGTTTTAGACATTCATATAAATAGAATCACATAGTATGTGGTCTTTTGTGTCCGGCTTCTTTACATGTTTTCTCGAGGTGTATCCACGTGGTAGCATATGTTGGTACTTGTGTTTTTGTGTGGATATACCACATTTTGTTTTCACTTTGTTGGTCGATGGACATTCTGATTATTTCAACTTTGTGACTGTTATGGACAATGCTGCCATGAACATTTATGTGTATGTTTTGTGTAGATGTATGTTTTTTATTTCTTTTGTCTATATAAGAAGGAGTGACCTTGCTGGGTGACACACTAACCACATATTTAACATTTCTTGAGGAACTGCCAGACTGTTTTCCAGAGTGGCTGCACTGTTTTATGACACCACCAGCAATTTGGGAATTTTCTCCACACCCTCACCAATACGCTTTATTATCTTTTTATTTTTTTTTTATGGTTCTAGCCATACTGATGTGTGTGAAATGATATCTCATTGTGTTTTTGGCTTATATTTCTCTTATCACTAAAGATGTTAAGCATCTTTTTCATAGACTCAAGTGTACCTACCCAAATAGACCTTCTCACCCGGGCACAGTCAGGTTCATGACCCATATCCCTCCTAGGAAATAGGAAGGCCGCCAGTTGCTGCCCTCCCTGACCCTTTAAATCCCCATCCTCCATAACCCACGTGTGGAATTCCTTTCTTGATTTCAGGTGGAAATAAAGATAATCTTTCTTCCTTGGGTCCAGAACTTTTCACTTTTCATGTGCTCATTGGCTATTTGT